GGCCTGACAATATTTTAATGTACAAGAACTAATTTTAAAAAGGGCATATATTTCTGTACAAATTCATACGGTAATGGTAATAACAATACAATAATAATATTTTCTAGGTCATGTAGTCACCTGTGTTAATTTAACTCTTCTGCTTGACAATATTGGACTCAGTATACAAGTGAACTGGGAGGACAGATTCTATCTCTAGTATTAACTGACTCATTCATTCCTGTAACTACATGCAAATTACCTAATCTTTGAATGTTGTATCCCTTATTTTATAGAACACAGACAGCAATGCTTCCTGTATAGCAGCCTCAGAGGTCTATTTAGAAGACTATCTATTCAATAATAACATTGTTCCTTGTAAACATAACTTTTATATCTTTTAAAACAATAGGACAGTTAAATCAACATAGCAATAGAACCACCTAGGTAGATAAAGGAAACATTGTGAGGATGGTATAGCATTGTGATTAAGAGCATAGGTTTGGAGTCAGATAGACCTGGGTTAATTCCCAGTTCTGCCCTTTATTACCCCAAGGCAAGTAATGTTACCTGTCTGAGCCTCAGTTTCCTCATCTATAAAATGGGTATAATAATATAACCATAGGTTGTTGTAAAGATTAAGTGTGCCTGATATTTTAAGACAGTAGTTGGCACGTAGTATGTATGAAACAAACGACAGCAATTATTTTTTGTTCTGCGCTGACTCACATTTGACTTTAAATGAAGTGTTAAAACCTGTATCTGCTTTTGCAGCTTCAAAAAAAGAGATATCATCTGACATCTTCCTATGAAAGATTACAAGATAGAATTTAATGATGACTCTATGCCACTTTGGATTCCCCTAAGATTAGTTCTATCACCTCAGAATTACTATTCTAAAAATCTCAGGAATTCCCCAATCATGCAGGCCATGTATGTACCTGGGAAAAGGTTGGGCTTGTAGGTTCTGGCATGACTTGGTGTTGCTGCAGCCCATTTATCTTTCTCAACCTCTTAAAACTTTCCTACTCTCTTTTCCCCTCATTTCAAACCTATTAAAGTATGCATGAAACTGTGAGAGCATTCTTCACAATTCTCATCCACCATCTTCACTGAGAATATGTCCAAAGGAGGGTGGTTTGAGAAGTTCTTAGTGCAATTCCTCTGAACCCTAACCCTGACAAAGCCATGAAACACAGCCACAGCACCCAATTCACCACCTACCATCTTAGAAGACCTGATCCACAACTGCCCAGCTCACCCCATTCTCAAGCACTAAAGCCATCAAGCATACTTATAAATCTCTGTGCTGATATTGAAGCACATGGTGTTGCTTTTTTTTTGAATGTTTCTATTTATCCCCTCTTTATATTGAAGCAATGACATATTCTTGGAGGAAAGCAGACAACAATGAAAGAATAACAAAGGTCCATTAGACAGTTATAGTTACTACAGACTGATGAATTCCTTCCATTAAATGCTGCATTAAGATGAGCTTGGTTTCCACACAGTAGCAAATGTTGTAATCCTTTTTCGAAAACAGTGATAATGTAATTGAAGTTATTCATCACCTTTGAGATAGTGCGGAAAAGTTAGGTTGCATTCTTACCTTGTTTAAATACAAAGACAGTTTTAAGAAAATTAAATATGAGTAGTCTGTGCTTTTTTTAAAATGTTTTTAAAAACCTACAAATTAAAGTAAAATTATACCACCACCTTCAGCATATTTGTGCATTATTTCATATTAATCTGTATGTGATCTGTTTCTTTGCCTATACTCTCACATTTTCTCTGTGTGTATGTGCACATGTGCATGTCTTCCATTTCTCTGAGTGCAAATTTCCCAAAGATCCTTCTTTTAGCTCCCCACACATGATAGAAAATGTGTTACAGTAGAGACAGTGTAGACTTTAGAGCCAGAAAGACCATGGTCTGATTCTAGTCCAGCAGGTACTAACCCTGGACAGTCTGAGCTACAGTTATTTCATCTTTTAAAGGAGTGATAACAATAACTGCTTCTCAAGGCCCTGCCAAAATTAAATGAGATAGCATTTTACAAAATATGCAATACATAACAGGTGCTCAACAGATAGTTTCTTCCACACAGAACTTAGTACACAATGAGAACTCACTAAGAGTTTTTTCGTGGACCAGGGCTAATCTTAGTTGACGGAGAAGTGAGACCCTGTGTTCGACAGTTGGAGCACAATCACATAGCAACTCTGGACCTAAATCTCAATAGAATGGCCTCCCTATAACTATCTATTGACTAATTTCAAGGGGTGATATTGCTAGATTAGTTTTACCTTAACGTTTTCCCTGTAAAACAGATTTTTAAGTTCCAAATAAGACCAGCCTCCTTGTTTGACACAAACTACCAAAATCAAGTCTATATCCTCCCTTCAGTTTCCCATAGTTTCTGAAATTATCCTCCCCTCCTTAATCATCACTACGTTGCATAAATGAATACTCTCCTCCCTTGGAGGGAAAGGTGACTAGGGAGAGAGCATCTCCCATTAAGATATAATTATACCAATTTAAGTAAAACAATGGGCTACCTCTTTTAAAAGCTGTCCTATTTCATTTCTGCCTAAATTTCTTTCCGTCTTGCAAGTTCCTTTCTTTTTTATGGCTTTACACTGTATCAGTTCTTCCCAAATTTTAATGCAAATAAGAATTATCTTGTGTAACTTTTAAAAGTATGATTCCCAGGGCCGGCCTGGTGGCGCAAGTGGTTAACCGCGCGCGCTCCACTGTGGGGGCCCGGGGTTCGCCGGTTCGGATCCTGGGCACGCACCGCCGCACCGCTTGTCAAGCCATGCGGCATCCCATATAAAGTAGAGGAGGATGGGCATGGATGTTAGTCCAGGGGCAGTCTTTCTTAGCAAAAAGAGGAGGATTGGCAGATGTTAGCTCTGGGCCAATCTTCCTCATTAAAAAAAAAAAATACGATTCCCATGCCTCAACCAGAGATTCATTAGAATTTCTGGAAGGACAACTGGACTTTTCTATTTTTAATAGGCACCCAGTGAATCTAATGCAGGGAGTCCATGAGCCATACATTGAGAGATAGTTCTTACCCTACTGAGTAAAAAATAAAGTTGTCCATTTTGTGTCATTTAAATATTACTCATTTAATCTTCATCTATCTAAATGTGTGTGGATACCAATGTCTGTAAATTTGGTCTGCTTACCTTTAATTCTTGTCAGTGGTTGGTGGTGAATACGGTTAGCATACATCACCATCACCAATAAATATAGTCTTCTCTTCTCAAATCTTTTCCCTATAAACTTATATCTGATAAAGTTTTCTTTAACCTTCTGCTATGTGCATGTTTATAAAATTCATATGTTGATCTCTTCATGCTCAAAGAGTAGTCTAAAATAAGAGCTTGGGGGAAAAGGCAGCATAAGAAGAATATGTTTACCTGGTCAAATCTCTTCTTATCCTTAAATTCTAAAATAGTGGTTCTTACTTAGAACAGGTGAAGTACAGGAGAGGGCTAACAGAAATTTGGCTAAAGGGGAAGGAGCATGACACTTGATGAAACTCTCTACCTGTTTCTTATGTATATGCCTTCCCAGTTATGAACCAATGTCCTTAAAAAGAAATTGTCTACATGTATCCCACCATTACAAATATACCTCTTTCATCAAAGCAGTCCCGTAGGTGTACTTATTCCAGCAAATGTGCATAGTAAATTTAACCCCTTTCCGCTCTAGTCCATTCTCTTAACATCTCCTAGGCCCACTCAAACATAGATGTGCTCCACTTTTTATGCAATTTTCAGAGCAGAAAGTTGTTTTCTGTTTGTTTATTTATTTTCCTAGAGAAGTACCTTCCATCTACTCCGAAGCAGGACTAAAAAATAGGTACATCTTTTGCTTTAAATTAGAGACTATACTCAGAAAAAGTCACTCCAATACCCTCACATGATAGCTCCTCTACACAGATTTCAGACTCCCTCAGATCTAACATAGACAAAGCCTGGAATCTATTTAGTATCTTGAGTCTGACAGAGATTATACATTTAAATAAAAACACTGTTTTCTATAGTAATATTCTTAAAGATAATAGGACGCAAAACCATCGTGGATTGTAGAGAAGTATTTGCAAAAGGCAGGGAACCCTAAGAAGTCTGACTAAATTTGTAATATCTATAGCTCTTACTTGCTTCATTGATATGTATAGAAAAGTATTAAACTTCCCATAAGTAACATAGAACTTTCTTTCTATCAATGATAGAGCCTGAGTGTTTTTCCCTATTTAGATTTTATTGGAAGTTTGATATTTTTCAAACTGTTATTTTTCAAAGTAGAAATTAATAAAAAATTATATGCCAATATGTCAATCAGAAAAAATAAAAATTTTAATCTGAAGACAAAATTATTTTCAGAGTCTAAACTAATTCACTAAAGCCTTGTTACTGTTTAGTTTCTAACTTTGAAAGAAAACTGCCTCAAAATAATTATGACTGACATATTGGAGATGTTGACTGTGGTCAGGTACATCATTGGATTTATTTCAAAAATCCATCTATAATAATTTAATTGTATTGTCTGCTTAAACTATTTCTTATTCTTTCAAAACATCTACAATTTTTTAAATTTAAACTAATTATAGAAAAAAATGTATGATTTTAGATTTTTTCTCATGTATACCTTCGCAAATAAGAGTATTTTCTTAACAAGACAAATAATGCCCAAACTAAAAACACATTCTATTATGCTTGAAAACAAACAAAGAAACAAACTGAAAGACAGCTATCAAACACCATGTACCTTTATCTTTTGTTTAACTCCTCCAAAAGTACATAGAAAAACATTTTTGGATGAGACATAAGAGGACAGGGAACACTCATACAGAAAGAATAGAAATCTATTTCTTGACATAATTTCATGTAAAATACCAAAAGTAATTTTTGGTATTAAATAATAAATTGGAGATCTACACATTTTTTGGTGTGGTTTATGCCATTTCAAACTACAAGTTAACTTAAGAAAAGGAAAAGGGAACTCACTGATACATTGCTGACCAGCAAGGAAGAGTCCTGTGGAGACCGAGATCTGTAATACAGGTGTGCGCATCCAGACTCTATCAACAGCTTCATGGGTTGGATTAAGGTGAAGAAAGAAGTCACTGATGATCTAAACAAAACCAGTCTGACAGGTCTTGGCTAGCGTGGCGGGGACTGTTTGTGTAACTAGTAGAAAAATGTCAAATTTTATAAGGAGCAAGGGAACATAATTCACAAGCACTTTCTAGGAGTGGGAACTTAAAAGCCTTTGTCTTAAGATAGTAATTTAAAAGTGTTAACATAAACCAGAATTTTTATAAAAGTCAGATTTTAAATCTAGAAAAAAAAAATTTGTATCATCTTGCTCATTCTCCTCATGTTTCCTTCCAGGGAAGAAACTGAGGCGGGTATTGTGTGTTTGTTTGTTTTCATTACTTCCTTCTTCTATAGGGAAAGAGGATAGGAAGAAAGAGACAGAAGAAGCAAGGAAAATCAGGAGATAATATCATTATATATTCCATACAGCATGCATTCTGATTTTTATCTTTATAATTTGAAATTTTTGTCTTAGTGATGAATGTAGAAAGCACTGAATAATTTAACTGTTGATCTTTTTAAGCCAGCATTCAGATTATACCCTTTATTTTTCAGTCACAAATAGCAGAAAGCATACTCCAGCTGTTTGAAATACAGACACAAAATTGAAAAGTCTAGAGAGAGAATTTTAAATTTCAGGAATGGTCTGATCAGGTCCTACCTCTAATTTTTTTCTTTTTTTTTTCTCCTGCCTTTTTACTTGTCAGTTTAGGCATCTAGCTGATTCCCTCTTGGTTGCAAATCAGTGCACTCCCTTCCTGTTCTTCCCTCAGGTCTGGAGACTTTGCATAGAACCAACGTAAGCCATTCTCACTGACCAGAGAAATCCCATGTGCTAATTGGCTTAGTCCTGGGTTAACACCTCTTCCTGAGTCAATCTTTAGTTGAAGAGGATGGGATTAAACCACAGTAATTGCCAAACGCCAACCAGGCACTGAAGAAAGTATAGATAATCATGTTCATTAAGCACTTAGTATGTGTAAGTACTGCTGGGAAACTGAGGTTTAATTAACTTAAATGACTTGGTCAAAATCTCATAATTTATGAACCATCAAACCAGGACTAACACCTATATTTTTTTAAACTAATCTAACATGCTGTCCACTCTACCATGCATACAATGAAAGTTTTCCTTTGGTAGTGACTGTTATAAGTGAGCTGTTGAAAATACAGTAGAGATTAGAAAAGCATTAATATCTTAAAATTTTGGTGGCATTATTCTTCTAGAAAAGTCAAGTCATTTACAAATATTAACACCCAACTGATACAGTATATTTCTTTCATTATACTGAAGAGAGGCATATCAGCCAACATTGAGTTATTACCATTTTGGAAAAGTAAATAATGTATTTTTAAAAATGTGTGTTCACACATGTGTATGCAAATATCTGTGTATTTGTGTCAGGTATAATCTTTAAATTGCCTTCCCTAATCCCCATAAACTAGGTTAGGTGTTTTTCCTCTGTGCTCTCATAGTATCATAACACTTACTGTATTGTACTAGAATTTTTGTTTACTTATATCTCAACTCCACTAGACTGTGAATTCTTAACAGACAGTAACCCTACTCCTAACACATATGGGTTCTCAAAAATACTCGTGGAAAAAGGGAAGGAAGGAAGGAGGAAGGAGGTGTGTGACCAGACCTAAAAATCATCATGTAGAGAGAAAATAAATACTGTTGATTATTACTACACAACTGTTTAGCCAATGGCTCATCTGAACTGATGTAGAAGTTGGGATCCATAATGAAGTGCGAGGTTAGGCTTCCAAGAATTGGAATCACTCTCTAGAAGTAACCCAAGAAACCTCTATGCTGGGGCACACTGTACTCGGGACTAGGGAGACCATCTCATCTGCTCTTTGTATTCTGGCCAATAGATCACTTAACACTGAAGGATAGCATGTATATTTACTTGAAGTTATTCAATATGTAGTATCAGGTTTCTGTCTACTCACTTGAAAGCATTTTATTTAGCCAAAAATAAAGAGGCAATAATAGTGAAGTAAAAATTTCCAGATTATGAAATTAAAGTGTTCTTATTGTATAGTCCATAAAAGTAAAATCCTCACTAATGAAATGTTAATACTGGCTTAATAATACTATATTTTATACTCATGTTCTGTGAAAATACTGATTATACTCTTGCTTTAAAAGGAAAACAGATTTCTCTTCAGTGTAACTGTGGGCCAGGACTTGTTAGACTCATTTTAAAGGAATCTCATGATTTTTTTTCCTTCCCAAAATGCAGATTCCAAACTGAAATAAATCCTTGTGTATGGTCCCATGGTCCTGTATACTCAGGTTTATGTAAACCTAAAGACATAGATGCAGAAAATAAGAGGGTTTCCGTGAATTTTTTTAAAACCCTATGAATATAAGCTAGAATTTATAGAAAACCAGAGATAAAGATATGTAAATAGAGGATAAGTGTATGTCAGCCTAAAGATATCAAAAGATAGTCATGAATACATCCTTCCTATATTAATGGGCTTCATTCGGCTACTCCAAGAGCATCAACAATGTGTGCCATCAAATTTCATATTACTTGCACTTTAGTAGAAATTTGAAGAATGACAGAGAAAGAAGGAGGAATGAAACATTAGACTATAAATTATCCATCGAATGAAGCATTTCATATATTTAGGTTTTTCTTGGATAGTTATTCTGGAGTTGTAGGATACAAAAGCAAAGTCAATCATTTTAAAATTAATTGACCTCTAAGAGAAAAAAAGGCTCTTAGAGGAAAAGTTTATCTTTCATTCAAATATTTATTTTCTTCATTGCTATTTTTCTGAAACTGTAAATTTTATTCTGCAATCCTTTTAATCCTAAATTATGGTGTGAAGAAAACGTATTCAAAGAATTATCCTCCTTCTTGTGTCTGAGATTAGAGCAGTCTGTCTTCCCTGTGGCCTTCTTTGCAATGTGGAAACAGAGTCAGGAGGAACATATTTGTGAACTTGAGTCTCTGGGAAACCCACAGTAGATATGTTACATTGCATAACTAGTAAAACGGCAAATTGACCACAGGCATTTTTACCAGCCAACAAATTATTCCATAGTCTTTCCTACACTTATCAGTGTCGTAGCAGTGAGGCATCTGCCTAAGTATAGCGCCAGTGTGACAATCATGGATGATTTTTGTCATTGTTTAAATATCCCCTAGCTTGAACCAAGTTCTTTTATGCTTGATAATACATGGATACTTATGCATAATAATCTGATTATTTATGTAAGCTCTCAAAGTTATACCTGGGTTATGTCTCTATAATGCTAAAGCAATCCTTTATTGGTCGATTTATTGGGTTCACATTACAAACTCACTAATGTCATTAAACTAGTGAACAAGCTAGTTATGAGAGTAAACACAGCCATTGTCATTTATGGATCCATTTCCTCCTGTCATGTATTGTTTTGAAGATATCCATGCACCTTAATTTGTTTAAGCTGAGAAAACAAAGAGATCAATATAATTAATTAACCTTTGCTTGTATCTCAGCAAGAAGAGATCATGTAACGGTGCAGCTGGAGAACAAGCTATTACTGCTTTGTCACTCACTGTCTTTTTCTTTGTCTTATTTTCTTAGCCAAAATGTGATTTATTATCTCTATTCCTCTATAAGATGTTCTGCACCTGCTATAACTGTCTTCGTGACGCTGGGGATAATTTTTCTGGGCATTGACGTGAGCCTCTGCTAAGCTTTACAATACATGACGCATATAGTAAAAGCCCGAGGTAAGTTCTTTACAATTAACAGACAATAACAATGTTAAAACAATATTTTTATTGTTGCGTTTATTGGGGTATGCAATACAGACTGGTTAATATTGTTAAACTAGTGAGTGAATGAAGATGACATTTGGACCCATTTTAATTTTAAAACTGTTTTTTTGCAATTAGTCTTTGTAAAACATTTTTAAGTTTAATCAATTTCATGTTGGGGGATCAACTTTCAGTCTTCTCAACAGACTCTTCCTGGAGTATGAACTAAATTTATTTATCTATACTCCGTCTCTTTACAAGTAGACATTCCCAAAATATACAATAAATTGATAAAATAGGGATCAAATTCAAGAAAAAGTACAAATGCAAATATATTCTGCATATTGTTTAACATACTTGCTCTGGTAGAACTGCAAACTTGGCTTTGAACTTATGGCAGTAAGGATACCAAAGGAAACTTAGAAAGTTATACAGTTTTCATTACTGAAAAGAAAGAAACACATCAACAGAGAACGTTTCCTGCCACTAAGTTGAAGAAATTTCTCACGTGGGGGTTACACTGAGCAATGCACTGAATAATATCAGCAATATTTTTATCAAAAAATAGAAGAGAATTTTATATAACTATTTCTTATAATAAATCTAAAGAAGTCTAAGAAGATAATTTAGTTGAAGTTGGTGACAGATTTTTACAGGAGATACTTTTACATGGTCATGAATGTATACTTCTACTGGTCTAGCTTGATCCGAAGGTAGAACTCAAAGTACCCAAACTAGAGGTACCATGTCCCTTAGACGAACTTTCTTAAATATCGCTTCTCTCAGAAGACCTTTATAAGAACAGAATAGAAGATAGCTGAGTTCATATCCTGGACAAAGGCCTGGAGAGTTAATGTAATATTTTGCTGATTAAGGGAAGATCAGTTTAGTTTGCTAAACCAAAGAGACAAGTTGGCAGAATCGATACTTTATCAAAACTGAGGAGCTGGATGAAATTTTACTTTTGTGTGTGTGTGTGTGTGTGAGGAAGATCAGCCCTGAGCTAACATCCATGCCAATCCTCCTTTTTTTTTTGCTGAGGAAGACTGGCCCTGGGCTAAGATCTGTGCCTATCTTCCTCCACTTTATATGGGACGCTGCCACAGCATGGCCTGACAAGCGGTGCCTCTGTGCCCACCCGGGATCCGAACCCGGGCCATCAGCAGCGGAGCGTGGGCACTTAACTGCTATGCCACAGGGCCAGCCCCAAAATTTTACTTTTAAATAAAAT